CAAGCATGACATCCACATATACACACGTATCGCCTGGCAACTACATGTTCACCCTGCACTTCCTCCATCCCCCATCCTCATTTCAGCCATCTTACCTTCCCTGGAGGTTGTGCTGAGTACACAGGGCTGGGTTTGCAATCTGAGGCGGCTTTGTTTTGTCCCTGTTCTGCTGCCATAGAGGGGCTGAGGGTTAATTGAGCATAGCTTTGTTGTGGAAAGTAGGGTTAATTTCACTAAAACATACATAATGTCTGTAGATGTTCAGTGGAGGGGTTAGTAACAGTCAATGCTGAATATTAACTAAATGTTCTAATGAGAACCAATGTGTGAAATTAGGGTTACATTAATTATCTTAATTAATTAATTAACTAATTAATTGATTGCCTTACATTGATGTTTTGTGCTAAATTCACCTTCAGGAAAAGCTTCAGCGACAGCATTTAGACTGCTCATGAATGTTCATTTTAGACCATGGAAACAAACATACAAAAAAAGTCCCAAGGTCCACTTACCAGCAGTTTCCTGAGCTTTCAGCTGGTTCTCAAGGTCTACCTAAATGGATGGCTTTCAAATGATGATCGTTAGATGCGGTTGAGAGCTCCAGAAAAAGATAGCAAGTTAACCTTTTTGGCAAGCATTTATACTTATGGGACAGTGACGACTTTTCATTCTACTTATGCCATGATACTAGTATGAATTACTATTACTGTTTCTACAACTATGCAAACAAAAAGCAGAGTCTGCAGAATGGCAAAAACACCCGGATGTTGTGCTGATTTGGAATAAACACTCCAGTATGCATCGGACCACAATGCTCTAGAACTGCAGCATCCCTTCATCAGTGGTGTACAAGGAGGAAATAACACCTCTGGAGCATCTAGGGCTTAAGTGTCTTGCTCAGGGACACAATGGTAGATGTCTCACAGTGGAATCAAACCCAGGTCTCCCACACCAAAGGCAAGCATTTTATGGATGCGCCATCACCACCCGCTACTGTGATGAACAGTATGCACATTCAGTGCAGATTTGTAGTACATACTGCATATTTCATACTACAAATTCAGTGTTTGGTGAGTCCGACACTTCTTTTTGTCTTTTATATTCTCATAAAATTGGGGTTGGCATGTTGAACAGCAAACTGCAGCATTTTAATGGTTTGCTTACAGTTTTTTACTATTGCTATGACAACACTTTATGACAATACTTTTATCAATCACACCACTGGCAAAACAGTTAACTTCACACTCAAAGTCACACATTGTAAACATTGTAAACTAAACTCCAACACTAATTTTCAAAATACAATAATACATTTACTCAATACACTATATCTACCAAAACACTGAAAACATGTCCTAAAATCAAATAATTCTTCCAAAACACTAACACACGTTCTCTTCCAACAGGAACATTTAGTCAGTCATAGTACAATGTCATAAAAACACTAATTTCAGGTGGAATTACAGAAACTGCATTATTTTATATGTCAGGCCTGCCCTTATACAGTAGACAGTATATTGTATTGATCACAGATTATGCTTTGCACTGCAGTTTCTTTAGAATACATGGCAAAATTATTTACACTTTCCGGCAGGAGGAGCCCTAAAAATAAATATTTGTGTTTCAAGTCACAATATGAAAAGCTGTTCACGTTGAATTTAGCCTATAAGTTCGGTTTAGAACATGATGTTATCTGTTCTGACATACAGTGTGAAAGCATTTGTAAATTTGGCAGTTTTGTTCTTGGTTGAGCTTGTGTGTAAAAGAATTCCAATCATTTTAAAATTGTGTCACTGTATGCATTTTGTATCAAAGCAACAAGAAATGTGTTAATTGTATAGCCTACACAGAGGGATGTTGTGCAAACTGTGTTTAGAGTTTAGGAAAATTGTTTTAAGTATTGAAAGGATTGTCAAAGCGATCGTAAAAAGCTGAATTGTCGGTCTTCTAGATTACATTACTACTCATAAACACAGAGCTGTTAAGTAGCCAGCTCTCACATCTTAAATTTCAGAGCATCTCACCAGCACATAAATGCATCACAAGTCAGGGTTCACGCTTGCAACTGCATTATCACACAAAGATAATGTGGTCACAGATGTTATCACCACATATATTTGCTGTGATGGATTACCCAGCATAAGCAAGTTTTGCATGTTGATTTTCAGAAATTAACTGAACTTGATGGTTTACATTAGGTAGGAGAAACATCTACAATCTACAGCACTGATGTATGCTTTAGAAAATGTGGATAATAAAGAAGAGAATATCTTTTTTTTAGCAATAAAACAGAAAAATAAAGAGAACAATTATCTGGTGATGGAACCCAAAGCTAAAATACTTCTTAGGATGACAAACTAGAACGAAGCAAATAATAGTTAACCAGTTTAGAAACATCATAATCACATAATTTCTGTGCTTTATAGAATAGTAAATCTGGATTCACAAATACTACTTATATTATGATGCTACACACAAACATAAACCGAACACCTCCCACTCTTTTCTCAATTACCTCATCAGCTCATGAGTGGCTGTGATGGCAATCCCTTTAAAGATCCTATCCCAAGGAAATGATGTCAGTGTCATTTCCCCCACACCCTCTTTAGCATGTGACCCGTGACCTTCTAGTGTGTGGATGAGCTATTTATTGCCATGACCTCTCAGTCTGTGTGTGTGTGTGTGTGTGTGTGTGTGTGTGTGTGTGTGTGTGTGTGTGTGAGCACAGTAATGGACTAGGTTCAAAGGCCATTGCTGAAGGGGCAGGTTGGGAATGTATGGCGGGGTGGGAGGTAATATGCATGTTTCGAGGTGTACATAACACACACACGGCTACACACACACACAGACACACACACACACACCTCTGGGACATTCATTAGTGAATTGGTGAGTGCTAGACCTGTTTTGGATCAACAGGGAATAGCAGGTGATAGACTGGACATCAAAGTGCACACATTAACACACACACACACACACACACACACGCACACACACACACACGCACTCCTTACTGTCCCATGTGGCTGATGAAAACAGGTCAGAGAGAGGGCGTGTTTGATGGAGAGAATTGACAACATCAGTCGTTTCTTTATTCACTTCTCACATTCAGTACAGTCTTAAATATGTACCGTCTGTGTGGAAACGCACCTAGTTTACAGCTGGACACATGTTTATACTGTTAATTTAGAAAGATCAATCAACTTCACCTCTGTCAAAATTCTCTAATTTGCTAATAAGACTTTTGGTTGTCTTTAAATTGAGATTACTAAATAGTGTAAAATAGACAGTCCAGGATGTCAATACTTGCAAATAATGTATACTGTAGTATTGTAAGACAATCTGTACGACTGCAAGATAATTTGATAGCTGGAGGATGTTATTGGGGTGAAATTGGGTCAGGTTCAGGCGTTTTCCCAAGCACAGCTAAGACAGTGCTGCTGCTAAACAAGATGACGAGGACAGTCTCTGATGTGTGTATCAGTAGTATTAAACAACAGCACAGCCTCATTTAACATACACATTCTCCTTAAGTAGGGCATACATCTAGTGTGCCCTTTGGTAATGCACTTAACCCAGTTAAACATTTCTCCCCCAGATGTTCCATATGTGCCATACTGTAGTCAGAGAGAGGAGTACTGCGTAAACGCATATTGGATGAACTCTTCAGTCAACAGATCGAGTTAAGGATGATGTAATAGCTTATCAATAGTGACATTTGGAAAGTTTAAACACAATTAAAGTTTTATAAGGCATCTGAGTACATAGATAGATTTAATTCATTCAAACAGTAAGAAGAATTTCTGTGTCTTCTCATATTTGGTGGATGTGCAGTGTCGCGGACTGAAATGTGCTCTGTTCATTTTCACAGCAGCTTAGGTTTTGCTTTCATGACTTAAAGCAAAGAAAGGCGTGTTAGGGGATTACAATGGAAAACAAATTACAACCAAAATATTCCACAATGCATAGGCCCAAATAGCTAATTAGCTGAAATATATAGAAAATGCATAAAAAATAATGAATGCAAAGTTTGCTCCTGAGAAAATGTAGTGGATTCAGTGTCAACAACTGCAATTATCAATCATTGCACCAAAAAAACACATCTTGTATGGATATGTATGCAGTTTGAAAGAAAATTAGGCCTACCAGATCTCTGTAGCCCTAGCATAACACATCCGAACCTTGGACTGAACGGTCGGTGGTTGAGTTGCATTGTGGGTAATGCAGACACCAGGTTTTGACAAGGAAGAATGCATGTATGATGAAAGCCAGCAAGCCGGCTACACATACAATAAAAATTACATCAGAAGATTTAACAAGCAGCCCACCACAACACCTAACACACAACAGCAGAAAATAGAGAATGTACATGCTGGAAATGGACTTGTATGAAAGCACCATTTTGTTGCATCTGAGTGTGTGGGTGTGTGGTTTTATTGTGTTGACTGAAACAGTTTTGTCACTGTAGCATAACACTGTATTGGAGATGTAGTGTGTTTTTGTGTGTGTTTTAGATTCCCATAGAGGCTTTCTTCTTTTCCTCCGGGCAGACTGTGTTAGTGTGTGTTTCTGCGTATGTGTGAGTGTGTGCATCAGCAGCAACACAGACAAGACGGACAAAAAGAAAGAGGGAAAGAGCATCCTGTGATCCTGAGGGCAGCGGCTGGCATGCAGACGTGCTCTTTGAAAGCTCAAACACATAGTTGAAGAAACAACACTGCTGCAGACAGTCTTGAGGCGTGTGTGCGTGTGTGTCTGCTCTACTGTATCCTCTGCTTCCTTCTGCGCTCAGACTAACAAAGACTAATGAGCATCATATGGCAGGAGTCTTCACTTCTTTTTCAGTGATTCGCCATGTGTCAAGGGGTCCAGTCAGAGAGACCCACAATGAGCGCAGATATTTCTTGTTTCAAATAGCATCTGGTTCCATCTGTTGAACTTTGGTGTGAAGACTCAAAAGGTTGTAATATTGTACATTCGTTCTCTTTGTGTCTCATCAGGTCTGCCAAGTGGTCACGACAGACAGACGATAACTGTCCACATCAGTGAACGTAAGTCAGTGTTTCTGTTAAATCAGTACTGCACGTTAGACTGAATAGACTGCGTAGACCACTAGTAGACTACTATGTTAGTAATGTACATTCACAGTGATCTCATCTGCAACCCTGATTCTTTACATGTTCTTTAAGCTCATGTAAGAGGCAAAATACTTCTTCATATGTCCTTATGTGAATGACGTAAATGTTGCTTTGTATCATTTGTAGTCTTACAAACTGGACAAAAAATCTGTCTGTAATTTTTGTGTTGGACTGAAAAAGTAGCCCAATTATAGTTAAAGGACACCTGTTATCCTGCATTTCCATCCTATATTCTATAGTTCGGTGACTCCTTTATAGCAGCAAAATCATTTTCTATCTTATGGTGCTTTCAAACCAAAAGCGAAACGAGCAAGCGGGGCGGTGAGTTTACATACAAAGTCAATGCAATGTAGAGCCGCAATTTCCTGTTGGGGCCGGCGACGCGAAGGCAACGCGAAGGAATTCGCGTGAGTTGAATATTTTCAACTCAAGTGAAGAAGTCGCATGACGCTGAGTCGCAATAGTCTACCAGTGTTGAGATTGTCCGTACGTCACCGAGGCTTCAGAGCAATGTGTGGAGAGGGCCAGGCAGAGCAGGGGATTGAAAATCTGCTGTCCGGGTGAGAGCTGCTAAACGTGGGGGAGAGGAGTAGGGAGCAGCGCTGCAACCATTGGACAAATAAACCCCCGTAGTTGGTTGGATTCTGCTCTGACAACTACGCCGTTTACTTGCGGGAGGAGCTCGGAGTTAACTGCTTTTATAAAATTAGCTTTTTACTTTAGTTTTTGGGATTTCAACGTTGATTTATCTTCGCTGGAGCTTCTCAGCAGCTAGATTCCATGCACATCCGGTTCCAGTGTTGTTGTTAGCGTTGTTAGCTTTGTCGGACTGTGACTTCATATTTATATAAAAAATGGACAAAACAGGACATTGATGGGAGAAAAGAAAGCGAGGAGGGTGAACTACCTGGTGAGTTCAGAAAAGACGTGTCTGTAACTTTATTCCAGCTATTGTTGTACTTTACTGTGACCAAGTATAGCAATAGCATAGCCCTGATTGATCCAAACTCCATTCAGAAAACAAACATTTTAGAAGTTGTTGTCCTGCTGTCTTGCTGACAGACCTGACAAAGTATGAATTCATATGTTTAACAAATCTGCATCATATTGTAGTTATTTCAGCATCAGTTTAATCTGTTTATTGCTATTTAATCACAGCAAAATGTTTACTTTGGGTTCATACAGTTGTAGTAAAGGCGAGTTGTGTTTATTCACGTTATTGCGTTAAAATCGCCTTCTCGCGTTGTGTGAACACTTGCAGCAAATGTACTCACGCGAGGAAAGCGTCGCGAGGCGAAAATTCGCAGTTGGTCTGAATGCGGCATTAAACTGGCCCTTCATGTAGGCCTTCATTTCAGCCTCTGTCTGAAACAAGCTGTAGATGCCCCTGTCTCTTTTTCGCCATGTTTAACATGAACTTCCAACAGTTTAATATTATAGATAAGTCATAAAATATGGCATAATAGGTCTCCTTTAAGAACATGCCCCCAGAAAAGTAGCCCAATGTTTCATTTAGGAAGGGTTTTGTGTATTTAAATCAGTTTCTATCAGTATAATTAGTTTGACTAATAAATAATAGGAGTCAAAAATATCAGTCACCTGTTTCCCGAAAAAATTGCAGGTTAAAAACATCCAGCTGGTGAATATTAAACTTAAAAGTAACCTCACAAGTTGTTGACATGTCTAGTTGATGACTGCCTTTTGCCTTCAACACTTCCTGACAGGAGAAACCTGGTTTTCTGTTGTTTTCCTCTGACTGTTCAACATGCTGCTTTGATCGATTACTGTAAAGTGTGGAAGTCTGACCAATCACATTTCTTTATCCATATTTTTAGTGTAAGTGCTTGTAATTTCAGCAGGGAATGGCCACCAACTAACAGGAAACATCATAAAACACTGGTGTCATTGTGGTGTGTATTCCATTCCTGCTGTTGCTTATTTACCAGTTTGCAATTTACTTTGACTGCTTGCTTGCTTGTACCTTACTACTACTGTAGCTACAGTATTTATTTATTTATGTGTGTGTGCACGCAGTACTCTCAGTAGCCATGAGAGCACTGTGGTGCTGAGGATAATTGTGTGTGATGGATGGAGGGCTATTTTTGGGGTGTTTGTAGAACACAATTGGTTATGCTGTGTTCGGGGTATGTATGGAGGTCAGAGAAATGATTGAGGGGGCAGTTAATGTGTTAATGCTTCCAGCTTAGCCACTGTCCCAGATAGATAAAAAAAGAAAATATTTGTCTAGAGAAATATACGGGTTTGTATTTAGAATGATCTTTTTCAGCAAGACAGTAAGAATTAGATTTTTCACAGACTGAAATCTGCCCATTGGTGATAATAGTGACCATAGTTGATTTATACTGCCCTTATGCAATAACTAAATTACCCACATTGAGTTAGTAAGGTTACAAATGGGAATTTGAAATTGACTCCGTGCAATGCTTTTACTGTAATAAGTGACTTAATCAAGGTGTTTAATTCAGGGAAAGTAGAAAGCTGCATTTAGTTGCGTGCTTGTTCTCCTTTGTATTTATTTCATACAACAAGCACACACACAGATACAGACCTGCTTTGTTTGTCATATGCACCCCACATGTATAATTACGCACACAATCATTAAATGGCATTCAAGTGTGAAATGAGGGATTTTCCAGTTTTGGGACATGTTTACACACACACACACACACATAACCACACAAAATACTACTCACAAAATCTACATGACAAACTCACGGTCATTTCATCTCCTTAGCCCTGCCTCCATTGTATTTGTCCCTGAAGAGCACCATTAGCACTCATCATCATCCAAAATGACTCTTTTAAAATCTCCCAGTGCTGGAAACAATGGAATAGTGGCAGGTGTGAGTGTTTGTGGGTACTGGGTTGGGGATGGGACTAACTGAATATACAGCTATCTATGTTTGAAGAAATTCTACATTTTATTACGTACTGTAGTGTCTGCACTATATCCTCTTTTAAAGAGCAGATCCCTTTTGGCCAAATCTAATTGTAAAACCAGTTGTTATAACTGGATAATTCCCTGAAAAATCTCTAAAACCTTCAAGACCTGATTCAGCCATGTGTTTGCAGCTTCAATAATCAAACCTCAATTATGCTAATCGTGCTTGCCTTCACAGTTCATTTGATGGTTAGCTCTTGCATTTTAAGTGGCCTCTATTAAGAAATCTAAAACCTGTGAGGGCTACGATAAGAAATTAAGTTTTAAGAGGAATTGATTCATTCTACATTTGGACTGACAACACTGGGAAATGCAACTTCAATAGACTTTATGGTACCAGAGCATTTATGATAAAAATATCTATAGTCTAAGTGTATATTAATGACTTATAGGAATCACTCTCATCTTAAATAATGGAAGAAATCATATAATATTTAAAGATATATTTTCTTCTCATTTAGCAAATGTATCCTAATTCCCTCGTTTCTTTTATCTTTCCACTCTGAGCACGCTTCTGGCAAAACTAATGGAAGGTCACTAAGTAGTTTCACAATACACAATACACAGTATGTACATAATGCAAATTAACATGTTCATTTTAGAAATAGCCTGCAACAGTCCAGTCTGTTTGTGTTAGAGCCTGTAGCACGAGATGCAAAAGGGAGGGGGCCAGAAAAACTCACATCCATTTGCCTAATGGCTTCTACGATGTACCTGTTAATGTAATGTTGGGAGAAGTGCTCAGATTTGTGTGTGTGCAATGATAATGTATGCTTGAGGTCGTGGACCTCGGGCTAAACGAAGGTAATTGTGACCTGGTTGTGTTTTGGTTAGTCTCTTAGGTCAAAATGTGAAACAAGTTAGAGTTGAGCACACTATCACACTTTCAGAGCAGTCTTGCCCAACCAAACCTGCCAGCATGGTGCAGGACATGTGCATGACCCCCAGACTACCCTGTAAACCCCGTAAAACCCAGCCACGCACTCTCAAAACCACTGCTATGACCGGGTGTGCACCAGCTCCTCTGGACTGACATCAAGCAAGGTAAAAATTATGTTCTTCTGTTGCTGCCCTATGACTGGGCCCCTGAAACAATGGCAGCTTGTGCTAGATTTCAAACAAGTTAACCTAAATTCTCCCTGATTTGGCACTGTGGTATATGGCTCTTGGCCTGAACAGAGTGTAGACAACCATGTGTCTCCTCCAATACACTTAGAGCCATCAACCACTTTCACCATGCGCCTGCTGGGAGGTCTAACACCTGGAAGATATCAGCCCAATAATTGCCTGATTTGTCAAACATGGCTAATATGAAATGAAAATATGCATGGTAGAAGACAACTGATTTTGAGTCTAGGACACCTTTTGAGACCCCAGTGGAAAGGCTAGGATGCAAGAATTTGGCTTTTATCACCTAGTTTGACAACATTTATAAAATGCTCTGGGATGCTTTGGGATGCTTTGGACAACTCAAGGGCTTGAAAATGTATTTGCAATTTCATGTGATAAACATTTGCCGTCTGCCAATATTTGTGATCAGACTGTAAACATAGTTGCATAGTTGATTTTTTTTGTAAAAATGGACCCCAGCTTTCTGCAGCTTGCAGTATGCCTGCTATTTTCCACTGCCATGTGTGGTAATGTGGAGTTTGTAGTATGTGATGTTCTCTGACCCTTTTTCTCGTGTCTCAGTGTATCACTGTGTGCTATCATTTATAATGCACTGCCGTGTGTTTAGAGGGTTCCACACATGAAGAGAAACACTGACCTATTTCAGTGCTTTCACTGCCAGTGTCTCCTTTCTCTGTCCATGATGTCACTCTCCTTTTCTTTCCTTTTTATCTTGATTTCTCTCTCTCCATGGCTTCTCTGCTGGGAACAGATCTGCAATTCAAAGCAGATCATATTAGACTGTGTGGCTTGGTCTTTTCCTAATCCTTTCCCTCTACCATTCTTCCCTTCTGGTGTCTGTGTAAGTGCCTGTGTGTGCTGAAAAGAGTTCAGTAATTAACAGAGATGGGTCAAGTTTCACAACAGCTGGGCTGCAGAGATATATGTGCACTTATGTATGTATGTGTGTGTGTTTGTGCATGTATATAAGGAATGAGGGTGTGTCTGGGTGTGTACCTCCCTATGTGTCTGTATCCATGCATGTTGCGTGTTCATGTGTGTGTGATTGGTACGTTATGCCAGCCATTTGCTGGGGTATTAGCTCCCCAGGGGCAGATTAGCTATTTAGTTGAATAGTGTTGGATTGACATACCACCAGATGGTTTATGAATGTGTGTGTATGTATGTGTACGCGTGTGTGGTAGGTGTTTGCATGTTTTGGGTGAAATCTGATTACTGCCCTCAGGCCAAAAAGCTGTTGTGTCCCCTCTGTTGTGAAATCTGTGTGTTATTTTACAGCTCATAGTTTTCATAGAGATAAAGGTTGATGCAGAATTTTTTGACCATTTGGATACACGTTTAACCAAAACAGTTTGTACAATTAATAGGAAACAGTATTATAAGACTTATCCTAATGGAAATCAACAGTGCTGACATCCTTGTTTTTTTAAGGGAGCCTTTGTAACCTTTGCTGAACAACTTAATCAACAGAAAACAGAAACTAAGTAATGAGTTAGCTTAGAAAGCAAATTTTCAACCTGCTGGCCAGATGTTAGAAAGACGGCCCTAAAATAGTGGCACAAGTATAGAAAAATCTGATGATTTTTGCTAACATTAGCTAACATTAGCCACCATAAGCTACTGGTCATACCGGACCAAGTAAGGCTCTAGCAGCACAACGTCCTGAATGTATTGAATTGAGAAAAGGTATGTTTTATTGCTTATGAATGAAACTTTTTATTTGTAAAAGAAATAATGTATTGTTTCTTCTTTCAAAAGTTTCTAATATGTATGTATTATTTTTGGAATTGTACTTAATGGAATCATAACAGCTGTGGTAACTATATTTAACATTTTAAATTAGGAATCAGAGTCCAGTTCTCACAACAAAGAATATTACTTTATTTATTTAATTGTAATACATTTCTTTAAAGGGGCTACATGTACTTTTCAGCGGCCACTACCGGTGCAGTTGATAATGATGATAATGTTACACTGTCTGCATTTAGCTGACGTGATACATCTGCATTAGCTCCCCTGCCCCTTTTCAATAACTGTTTGTTTATCTCTCACCGGAGGTTTAGTAATGTCAGCACAGCTAAATGTATTGGATAATGAAAGACTGAATATTACAAATGAGATTGTTGCTACACTTTATAACATGATTCTGCTCTAGCTGCTCGTAACTCTTTTATTCACCTTAACGCAGACGACACCATTATTTATACATCTAGCCCCTCGTTAGTATCTGTATTAACAAACCTGCAGAAAAGCTTTAACACCATACAGCGCTCCTTCCATGACATAAAATTCTTACTAAACTCTGATAAAACTAAACCAATTGCTGCCGACACCTGTACATTTATCTAACATTATCACTCTGGAAGGATTTGAACTGGAAAATGTGGACACCTACAAATATTTAGTTGCCTGGATAGATAGCTCACTTTCCTTCCAGTCTCACAAAAAACATCTACAGTCTAAGATCAAATCCAGGATAGGCTTCCTATTCTGTCACAGGGCTTCCTTTACCCGCACTGCTAAACATGCTGTAGTGAAAATGACCATTTTACGATTCTCGATTTCAGTGATGTGGTATATAGAAATGCCTCTAACTCTCTATTGAAGAAATTAGATGTGGCATATCATAGTGCAATCCACTTTGTTACAGGAGCCGTATACCGTATTTGTAATTTTTGTATTTTATGTGAAATTACATATTGTACTGCATGACTTTTCTTCATCCTGACAAGGTTGCCATTGTAAATGAGAATCTGTTATCAATCTGCTTACCCTTGTAAAACAAAGGCAAAATAAAAAATTAAATAAATACTGTAGTGAATGCGTCTTCCGCTGTGGTGTTGTTCTGCACCATTATGTTGCATTATTCTATATTACGTGGGTCACGTAAGTTACAGCAATGAAGTGAAGAAGCTCTGTACCTGAGTATCTTAAAACGACAATCAATCTAAAGTTAATGTAACAAAGCAAACTGCGGCAGAGTGCTTAAGTAGCTAGTTGCTGGCTACAATGTTGTTGCTGCATGTACAGTACAGAATCAATAGGCAAGAGGCTCGGGAGTGCGCGTACAGTCACATCCAATGGATTTCCTGGGAAAATCCAACCTTTACAAAGGGTTAGGCATACTGGCTGTCAGAGGTAACAGAAAAACCCGGCAAGTGGATCATTTTTATGTGAGGTTACAACCTCCTCACACACAAGCAATAAAATTAATTAATTTCATAAAAAAAAAAACTACATATAGCCCCTTTAAATGTATACATACAGTTGACTCAATAACAGTTGACTGAGTGAGCCCAGTGCATTCAAAGTCTTTGTCAGCACCTTTTACACTTTTTTACATTTTCCTTGGGATTTGAAATGGCAATCACTCCCACCTGATAGTTTTTAAAAATATCATCCTGTTGTCATAGCTTTGAGCTCTAGTGTGATTTGAAGCAGAGTGAAGGATTGATCCTGGTGGGGGATAGCAGCATGGGGGACAGGGATTAACAGTGGGCAGGTGGTCCTGGCATGGTTGCCAGTACACAGACCTGGCTGTCATGTGGAGGTGGTGGGGAGTAAATTAGAAATCTTTGGCTTGTGGACTGGCTGATGAATAATGGAACAGTGTGGCAAGAAGAATTTAGACCAATGAGTGTAGAAAAACATTGATGTACAGTAGTGCTGTAGTGTTGTCACCAGACTACACGTTCCTGCAGGGTCAATCTAAAGATTTTGTGTTGGTTTATCACTCACTTTGCCAGTTTCTGAGACCTGAAAGTCCTAATTTGGACAAAAGGAAAGGCAGCTTGGTATGGGTGGAGTTGAGGTAACACAAACAAGAAGCTACCATGACCATTAACTGAGCATTTTTGAGGTTGAAATAAGGACACAAACGCAAGAAGTCAACGTAGCATTTGAAAAAATGTTTACAGGTACAACGTTTCCCCTTATTTTTTAGATACAATCTTTGGCCTCTAGTTTGACATAATAATAGTCATTTGACAAGCTCAGTCAATAAGTTAATAGTACAGCTGCAAGCCACAATAACTTTCTGGATATGAATGTACCACTGACAGCATTTAAATGTGACTAGTCCATTAAGCAGCCAACTGACAAACATATCTCCTCTTCTTTATTCAGAGAAATTGACTTTATAATCTGACCTGGATTCATATGGACTGTCTTGTGGTGGGACAATGCTTGGAAAACAGATATCAGGGCTTCTCAAAAGTTTAATAATTTGCACACCCTTAAAAACCTTTAAAAACACAAGCAGGAGAGCTTTTTGGTAAGGTTCAATGACCAAGTAGAGTGGGTGACACAGCTTGTTTATGCAGGTGACTATATTTAACATCAAATGATGGAAACACATTCATGTTTATTATATTTTCACAAATGGTTATATTTGTTTTTGTAGAAATAGATTTGCCTTTTGTATTTTTCAATAAAATTGATACTCCAAGAATTAAAAATGTAAGATAAGTAAATTAAATGTGTTAATTTTTGTAGAGATGTGACAAATAATTTTTTCACTATTGTGAGATGAGAAGTGGTAATAATAGAAGTATCCACTAAAGTCTATAAATGCCTGCAAACCTCCCAAGTTGAAAGATTATTAAAATATACACTACATTGTAGCAAAGATAATGGAATGCTGAAATAAGTGTTCCTAATAATTCTCCATCATAATTTCAGGGCAGATGATTTAATGCATTACAAAATTTTCTGGGAAGCAGCTTGTGATTGGAGATTTATGAATCAGTGCCATAGAGTTTCTCCTTGGCTTTGTTTCTAGGCCGCTCTCTCTGGGGAGCCACACAGGGACTCAGCTGTAAATGTAGGCCAGAGTCGACACACACACACTCAGAATACATACACAGCTACACACTCACCCACACTCACAAACAGTTTATACTGTAGATATACTTTATGGTATACTATGCTGTCTTCATCCTAATCTTCTATCTCTGTCTCTTGTCTGTATTCACAGGTCCTTGGCTCAGGAGAACTATCCAACCAATCAGGAGAGGTGTGGGGCGACGCCGTCCAATTGGTGGGGAAGAAATGTTGGGGCAGGGCGGGCATGTGGCCCTGGCTCTCGTGTCATTGCTACTGCTGTGGCACAAAGCAGCACCCATTGAAGTCCCACAAGACCGTAAGTCACTCTGCACTCATCAGATCCACTTTAATACAATATGTTACAGAAAATAGTGATTGAAGTGCCATACCAAAAACTATGACAATTAATCTGGTTATAGATGGCTCAGATAGGTTTGTAATTGGTGTTCCACAAGGGCACATTGACTTACTGTCTGGAAAACAGCACTTTAGACAAACAAAGATGGGTTTACGGATGATTTTCTTCTTCTTGGTCAGTTTTTGATAACTTTAAATAAATAAAATAAAACACTTTCAGGTTCGTAGGAACCAATCACCGAGATACAGAAGAATGAAACTTCTTCAGTACAAAGTAATTTATTCTATGGAAAGTACAATACAAATCTGGAATAGGAAGGGTCTGGATTCAGAATGCAGAATATCTAAAACTTCTTCTGACATCAATTCATATGAAGCTCCTCCTTATGGGATGTTTTACAAAAACAACTCTGGCTATGTAAGTCATCTGGCATTTTCAGGGCAGAATGACCTTTCTTTTCAATGTGTGTGCTCGACTGTACTGACTTTCTGATTATAACTACTCATATTTTTCACATAGGTTACGCAAGTAAAATGTTTTCTTAAGTTAAGATAAACACGTGTAGGTTATGCATTAGTTATTCAAATAATCCAATTTCCTTCAACAATGGTAGTACTTGGGTAGTTATTAGATATATTTGATGTCAGGTTCTGGGTTTTTTTTTCTGTTTTTAGCTCATATTTTTTTTATACAAATTCTTTAAACTGTAAACTGCTGACACAAGTTGATAGAGAACAAGGAAACTGTTCCACTTTGCCTCGTCAAATTAAAAGCCGTTGCTTCTAGCCTTTTAGTAAAGGGCAGATAATTTTAGAACGTATTACATGAGATGTGTTTTTCAAGTCCATTAGACAAAGTTTGTGTTGGAATTGTGAGCTTACAGTGAAGGTACAGGCCAGACCTGAACAGGGGACAATGTGTGTGTAAGGTATGCAACCACTAGACCGCTAGAATGCCCAGACACTACTTTTGACAATTCCTGCAAATACTTTTTCTGACCTTTATTCTGACAAGGCCAAGTGGTGAATGGTTTGATGAATCCAACACCATTTTAGGATCAGGACAAATTTCTGCCATATCAAGATGGGATCAAGATGCCTGATTAATCACCTGAAAGATCAACAATCTGTATTTTGGATGATCAGTTTTGATTTCAGTCTTGCAGTTCTGATCAGTTTCACTGTCTGATTTATCTCATGGGTACTTTGATATTATCAGAGTAGAATTTTACATTTTGTGACTAAAACTATAGTCTTGTGCGTGCTGTGATATGAAACTGAACATCACTGCGGAACAGACATCATATTGTCTGCATCTTCCAGACATCTGTAGCGCCATACGGCATTTCCTCTAACTTTTCATTCATAGTAGAATTGCACAAAATAATGCTGCCTTTCTGTCTTTTGTTGAGGACATGGTTGCCTTATAATCGGCCGGGATTTCTCTGTTTACGTTCAGTGTGAGCTTCATGTCGTGGTCACTCAGTTGATCTGTACAGTGTGAGCATAAAAACCACAGGTTCTGGCTGTGATTTGTGGGAGTGGAGGAGGTGACGAATTTCAGTTAAAGGGATAGTAAGCGATTCTGCAGAAAGATTGTTGAGATTTGAACTGCCAAACAAAGACAACCCTTTCTTCAGTGCTCCCTCTGCTGATTGACTGGAGCATAATTGTGGGGAACATCCACACCAGTTTCTTTGTTTTCCATTTACAGAGCCAGGGCTGTGTAGGAAAATGAGGAAATATTTGTTGAATTTAACAAAAAGTGTATTGACTTAAATTTTTTTACTGTCCCTTTATGGGCTTTTTTCCACTGATGCTTTAAGCCTTTAAAGGGGGCACTCCACTGATTTTACACATGAAGGTTAGCTAACTCGTCATCATCATTCATCAACATCTGAGCTTGCCATTGGTAACTTCACATTTACAACATAAAACCTGGATTACAAAACTGGGGGTTGTTGAGTTTCAAAGACATGTGCATTTTACAGGCATGGAAAGATATTGTCAAGTTGCATTAGGGAATCAAAGGATCCAGTGTTTTTGGAGCTTGACCTGTACTAGGGATTAAAGTTAAAATATCTAGCTCTCAGCTGCATTTATTTTGATGATTCTTTTTTTTAAAATAGCATTAACTATTTGCTCTAAGCAAGGCCTCTTTCAAAGAGTAATATTTTTTCCTTTCAATTTAAAGTAAAGACAAAATTAATTGACATGAGTTCGGAGGGAAAAAGATGAAATTCAACAGCGACGTTAATGCAGGTTCCAAAGCATTGCAGAATTCATTTTTCAAATATGAAACCGTACGTAGGTTGCTGGAGCTGTTGCAGTGATGACATTAACATTTGATTATCATGAGAACAGACTGCTTCCTGTCCCTGGGTAATAGTGAATCCCTCACTGCAAATTCAAGATAATAGGTCTTCATTGACTCCAACATGCACGTATTAATATATTATACAGATATACTTCCACACACAGTCACACTTATTCTCATTTCTGTCCAGTATAAAAGTGTGACTGGATCCTGCTGTTAAAATCCTTTTTCACGCAAAAGATGAATGTTTCACAATTGTACAATGACAAATGAGTTGATACAGAGATAGCCCCAAGGACACCTGGCCTATATGTTCCATACACACTCACACAGACACGCAGCCGTCAGCTGTCAGCTGCTCTGTCTTCTATTTCTTTGTTCCCCTAGAGCCATCTCTCTCCCTTTTTTTTTATAAGCCTGACCTTTCAACCCTGGGCTTATGATGCTCTATTGATCTGAAGCACACACACACACACACCCTGCTAAACAGAGACCATTTGAATATACGCATATAACCCAGTGACCTCACCTTAATGTATTTGCCACATGTAATGAACTGAAAGGCAGTGACTTTATGTATTTCTGAAAAAAATATTATCAATTGGTCACTTCTAGATAGATTCAGCTCATGGTTGAGTATGATACACGGCAAAGGGTTCATGTTTGCTGCATGATTTGATGTGTGAGATTGCATGCAAGAATTTAAATAAATACAAACCACAGAAATTGAATATTTAAGGGTTGAACGATTTCTTGGTTG